ACTCAATCTTTTCAAGATGGTTAAAAAAAAAAAGACTGCTCTGCACATCATCGTCCACCATGGTTGTTGTTTTTCTTCCCACTTCTGCATAGCAAGACGCAGAATATTGACCTTTGTTGAGTATTAATGACATTCATGTCTGATGAATTCTACCCTGACTCCGCTAGATGGATTTGCTCCGCATATCCATCTGGAAACCTTCGGTTGAAGTAATTTTGGGAAGGGGCGAAAATACTGGTTAGCTGATTGGCCTATGTTGGTAATAGACGGGCCAAATAAACCAATCAGATCAACCAAGCATATGACGTACTAACAGCCAGGCTACTCTTGCTGAAACCAGTCGGGAGAAGAGCAAAAACATCTTTTCCTCTGAGAAAAGCCTCCGGAGCAGTGTTTTGCTCTTCTTTCATTGAAGAAATACTCTGTAATTCCGATAAAACTTGCTCGATAGCCACGCTAACGCTAGTTTCATCGGCTGAAGCTGCCATGTTCTTTAGCCTGAACTCTCGCGCTTCTCGTTGCGTCACACACTGCAAAAAAATGAAATCTAAATAAGTAATTTCTTCTTAAAATTAGTGCATTTTTTCTTGAATTAAGGATTTAAGTGAGACATTTTGCCAATGGAACAAGACAATTTACGCTTAAAATAAGAAAAAACAATTATATTGTCTTATTTCAAGTGCATTTTATCTAGATACCTTATTTTAAGAGTAAAAATACTCATTCCATTGGCAAATCATCTTATTTACCTGCTCAAATTAAGGGTACATACCCTTAATTTAAGACATTTTTACTCATTTTGAGATCATTTTTGCAGTGCACCTCAACCCGCCTCAAAGCCAACGCTGATTTGACGTTCCTTTGGTGAACGGCTCCAAATTTTCTTCAACGGATAGTCTCCAGACTGATTAGCGAGGGAAATCTTGAAAGCTCGCGAGATCAGGACGGTCTCACGGGGCTAGATGAATGCAACTTGGCCGTTAAAACTAAGGTCGCATTTGAAAAGATGAGATTTGTATCAGATTCAGGACCAAAGAGCAAGTGGTCTGGGTTGCATTGGAAAAAAAACGGATCTGTGTTGTTCAGACAACTATGAAAAAAACAGATAAATTAGGGTCACTTCAGGCTGATGCGTGCCTTAGTTAGTAGTTTTGACGGGTTTTCATGTGATGTTTCAACTCAAAGCTTTGCATAACTATGAAGTGGAAAGAAAATTAAACACGTTTTTACCATTTTTAACAAATAAAAACCTCAAAAGCATGAAACCTCTGATGTCCTCACAGAACATCTGGATTATTGAGGAGATGCAGTCTACACACATGTATCTGTAGATGCTTTTTTCTTTGTTATTAAGAAAAAGACTGGACTAGACTAATTCAGGAATTCCCCAAATACAACTGCATGCAACGCTCTGCCGATTTTTTTCTGCTGAATTTAGAAAACCACATATCAAGTTTCTTCCACTTTTCAGTGATGTTTAACTATCAGTCTGGCAGAAAATCTTTGCCTTTTTATTTTTCTAGTAACATGAAAAAATGGGGACATTTTACAGAAGTGTGACAAGTTTTGAAAGACCAATGTAGATGGAGGAATGGGCATTTGACTGAAGGTTAGAATAACAGGACTGGTTAAAAAAACAGCAACAACAAAAAGAATCAAGTTCGGTGGAAATCTTAAATATTTTCTAAAAGATGGACCAACTCTAACATTCATTTTTTCATTATATTTTACATGAAGTCTGACATGCAATCATTTGGTTTACTTCCTTAGCTGCTGCTGAATCCGCATCCCAAATAGACACTCAGTAAACGCATCTGTAACTAGCTAAGCCCAGCAGAAAGTCTCCAACAAACAGAAAACAGATTACAATCTCTAAAATCACAATCAGCTGTGAGTTTTAGTGTTGTGAAAACAACAAGAAGGTGGCATGTCACAGCTTGCTTTTAGCTCTTCTTCACAGCCAATGAAGGATGAACCTTAGAGCTTACAGAGACTTTAGACCTTATGGCTTTATGCCCTCTGGAAGTGGTCACTTCCAGAACCCAGATCCATAAATAAGGCCAAGAAAAAGTCTTTAAATGTAAAAATATTTGGGCTACTGGATGAAATCCAGATGTTTCAAAGTTAAGACTACTGAATGGCAGCTGTGCTACTCTTAAAATTTGAAACCACACATAGTTGTATATAGCGCAGATCATTTTTTTTACTTAGCACAGAGATATAATATGTACGTCCTGTACTATCAGGATGTACATATTACATGTATGTGCATTTAAACACAAACCTCTCCAGCCTACCCTAACCCTGCCCTTACCTCAACAAATAAATATGCACAATAAAGGCATTGATCAATATAAGCTTAGTTAAACCAAAAGGTTTGATAAAAATTTGTTCACTATGCAGTCACTTATGTCTTCTGTTACATTATGCCCTAAATGCTCTGTTAGTTCAATCTCTAACGTTCTGCTCTCTCTGCTTTTTCTCATAGTAGCTTCATCTGGTCTGTTCCTGTTTGGCTGCAACTCCATCCTGGAGAGAAATATCAGCTGTTCTGCTGCCATCAACACCTTTGTTTCTAGATGTTGGAGCTTGGCCTGTTTTTCAGTGTAGTCCTGTTTCTCTGACTGTGACTGGCTGGATGTGCTCTCTTCATCCTCTGACATGGGAGCTGGCTCGGAGCTCGTCTGCCTGGTTGTGTGTTTCCGCCTTTTACAGTTGCCTATTTGTTTCTCTGCTTCTGTCTCCTTGAACCCCAGTCGGCCTCAGCAGATGGCCGCTCACACTGAGCCTGGTTCTGCTGGAGGTTTCTTCCTGTTCAAAGGGAGTTTTTCCTCTCCACTGTCGCTATAAGCATGCTTAGTGTAAGGAATTGCTGAAGAGTCAATGAGTCGATGCAATCAGCTGGTTTTCCTTAGATAGAAAACTTTGAATCAATCTGACTGGATGATCTGGTGAACTGGAAACTGCCTTGAGATGACGTGTTGTGAATTGGCGATATAGAAATAAACTGAATTTAATTGAATTAAACTTTCACAATCCATCAGTCTGTCTGGACAGTCGCTTGACCTTGCACAGTAACAGGGATAAGTTAGTTTTTATGGGAACTAATGCCTAGCTCCACCTGTCATTGGCTAAGAGGTCTGCACACCCTAAAGGTCAACAATCATAATGCATTACGGAGATAAACAGGATCAATAACCAGTTAACCTCAACTGTCATTGTTTTGGAATGTGGGGTGACGCCCAGAGAGAACCCACAGAGAGGTGCCAACCCCTTTCAGAAAGATACTAGAGGCTGCATCAAATTCAGGACTTCCTTGCTTCCAATTATTGTCACAGTATCGGACCTGCAGATCTTTGTGTAAATGGCTTAAAAATATTCAAATGCTCTGTAATAGATTAGATAATCAGCTCAGCTTTGGTAGTACTCATGGGAAAGTGAGCAGTGAGATATGAAGCTATGCATGATAATCATTTGACTTTCCTGAGTTCACCGCTGCCCTCCGTTAGAGAACCTTAAGGTTTTAAATGATCATAACATGAACACATGGAGTGATGGCAAGGAAAAGGAAAAGTTAGGTTTCCAACAGGTTCAAGAGGGAAGCCAAGACCTCCCTCTCTAGAGCTCATTCTGAAGAACATCACCCAGAATACAGAGGACTCTCCTCCAATTGTGCCAAGAAAAACCTCCAAAGAGAAACACCAAGAAGACATCCTCGTCACATGCCAGAACCATTTCTGCTGAGTTCTCTAAATGTGGTAGAAATGCAGCTGTTCTACAAGCCGCAGCCTACTAAGAAGGTAATTTCAGCTGCATATATCCAGGATTTTGTTCTTTATTTTGTGATCCATATCTCTCAACAATAAAATGAAATTTAAAACATAGAATAGAATAGAACAGGGGTAACCAATTAAAAATCAGCGGGGTCCGAATAAAGAAAATCATTAACCAGTAAAGGTCCGGAGACATTTTTAATTATAATCAGTTACTATAAACAGAATTTAATACTGAAATAAAAAGCAGTTTTTTATGCATCCATGTTATAAATTGAATTTTTGAATAAAAAATATAAAAATAATATAGAGCATTTTTCCATTTTTAAGTCTTAAGTTTTTTTTGAAGTAGAGTAAAAGTTACAGAAGGTGCAAACAGGGAGGAAAAAGGTACATTAAGAATAAGCAATATATATATACAATATATCCAGGTATATACAGTATATCAAGATAAATAGGATTAGGGTGCAAGTGTACTTGTGTCGCACACAATAAAAAACAAAATAAAAATAAGAAATAAAAAAAGTAAGAAATAGAAATATGTACAATCCAGATGGCTTATATACAGGGGGAGAAATATTGCAAATTCAGCATATTGCACAGTCAATAAATAAAAAAACTATAATGTAGCTGCACAGTGATCTGGACTCTGGTCCGCTAATCCGTGACCTCTGACCTATAGGGTAAAGACCTGGTCTACATAGAATGAAACACCTGCTGCTCCTCCTGAAAATCAGAAATCTCTAAAATTCCCGGTACTCACAAAACTGATTCAGGTTTTCCTCGCTTTTACTTCATATCTATTTTAATCCAGGTTACAGTGGTAGAAAAAAAAAAAAAAGGATATATTTGGACAGGTTTTTAGCAGCTAAGGGGCGCCAAACTAACTGCCTGTTGGTTAAAGATACCAAGCCTTTCTTTTTTATTTTCTGCATCCGTAGAATTAAAATCTAAATGGACTCCCCACCTCCAAACGATGGGTTGAGCTCCAGCCAGCCAGCAGGACCACTAAGGTGTGGATTGATAAGGCAGCCATAGTTAATCACAACCTGAGGACTTCCTCTTTACAAGAAATGTTCCCTGTTTAAATTTAGAGCAAAGAAAAATCACCAGAAAAAAACCAAAACAGATGAGCTGCTTTCTGCTAAGCAACTAGGAGGAGGACCCCGGCAGACTGAGAGCCTTAATTGCGTCCCCTCCCCTTTCCTCCCCTCCTCCTCCTCTTGTCTCCTCCGGGCTGCTGGCGAACTTCACTTCCACGCTGCCTCCCACTAGTATTTAGTTAGTGTTGGGCTGGATAGGAGAGGAGAGAGAAGACATGGCTTTCTATCGAGGAGCGTTTCTGTTTCTGCTTGTTTGCTTGTTGAACCACAGCGGTGAGTTTATGCTCCTTTATTTATATGGGGGGGAAAAAAGAAAAAAGTTTAATAAGACACCAGAAGCGCATTTTAATGAAAGTTTGACCTTTTTTTTTGGATACTCGACATGTATATTTTAAGTATTCATATGGAAACTTCAGCGCTCGATAACAGCGCGTTTTTTCCATGCATGTAAAAAAGCAAGTCCGCATATTTTCCCATTTATATACAGACACGCAATGCTCTAATTTGTTCTTATTTAAGATATATATATATATATATATATATAGTGTGGAGTTAAATGGAAAGCCTGTAAGGTGTAATTAATTACTACGTAATTGATGATGCTCATTCACCGTCCAAATTGTGGCCCTAAGCGATAAAAGCGAGTTTAAATAGTCTCTGGCATGTGATGGGTGTTTCTAAAAGCTTGTGACCTTCTGCACCAGAGTCTGGAGAAGTTATTAAAGCTTTAATACGCCTGCTTTGGACATCTAAAGAACCACTGTTCATGATGTAGACCGCAGGGCAGTCTCGGTCTCACAATGAGCTCAGCAGTCATGCACAGTTTCTTTTTTTTTTTTTTTTAACTCGGTAAGACATCAGTTTGGTGGGAAAACCTTGTTTTACAGTCAGGATCATGTTAGTTTCTTTGCACGTTTGTTTCTCTGTGTCCTAGGAACCAACCAAAGTCTAGCCTTTCTGCTAAATTAAGCAGAATTTTTATGTATTTAGTTATTTTTTTTTGCTAAAACTCTTAGTTAAGGCTGCAACTTAAACATCCTGCATTTAAAACCTGTATATAACTAAAGTAGGGACATATTTTACAAAACAATACAGCATGGTTTCAGGTAAGCTGTTAAGTTTGTTTGGGTCAAAGTAAAGAAATGTTGGTTCCAGTGTTTTCAAATATTTGCAGAACTGTGATGTAAATAAAAACTCTGCCAAAAGAAAACGCTTTTTAAGCTCACCAAGCTTTGATACATCAGAAAGTACAATAGAGATCACTTCCAGGGGACAGTGAGGTTTGTTGATGACATTTCCCCCCCAACCCCCCCAATTGCCTCTGAAGTCAAAACCAGTTTAAACTAAACCGTTTTCCAGTTCTAGTTACATTACGTTTACACTGGACCCTGAAGTGATCCAAATCTAATTTGTTTTGTTTCTGATCATTTGTACATCATTTATACTTTACAAAGGTCACTTCTGTGTCTCGCCATGCAGAAAGCGGGGAAAAAAACAACCATGGTGGCTGATAACGCGGAGAGCAGTCTTTCATTTCCATTTTCTTGAAATATCTGCTTTGTTAATATACTGACTCTGGTTGGAAAAGAAATTAAAGATCACGAGATGCAGTCCAGCACTACCGTCCATTTATACATCCGTAAACACTGAGCACACTCCCTACTTGTGATGTCATTGCGTGCTGCGAATATGGGACATTCGAGTTGTATGGTTGCAGTTTAAACAGGAGATCACATACAGGTCACAGATATTTGGAAATATGAAGGACCACGCAAAATAATCAGATTTTACAAAAAAATAAGAATTGAGCATTAAGGCCTGCAGTGTGAATGTAGCCTTAGAAGTCCAGCGGTTTCCTCATTAAAATGCTCAAGAACCGGGCCAATGGGAACCTTTCTCTATAGCCAGGAGTCCAATTTTCAGAGTTCTTAGTTCGAAAATTAAAGAAGAGACTGGTTGGTAATGTCCAGGTTCTCCAAACAGCGCAAACCTAAATATCAAACATGGCTGCCATGCATATAAATATACAGAAAGTTTTTCTAAGCACTTATAAGAGTTTGGCTCTGAATAATCTTCACATTCAGATGGTTTTCTCTTTGTACTTTGACATTAGTTATTTTATGGTTTCTTGTTGGAAATTATAACAATTTCCAGTAATATTTCAATTCTAGCTTAAAAAGTTGGGATCTCACCAAACGACCCTGCATTTAGCCTCCAGTATGACTCGCTGTCAACATGAAACACTAAAATTTATTGCTGATTAGCTCTTGTAAATATTACATTTGGATACGCTTTTTCTATGTCTGCTTCTGTCTCCTTGAACCCCAGTGGGCCTCAGCAGATGGCCGCTCACACTGAGCCTGGTTCTGCTGGAGGTTTCTTCCTGTTCAAAGGGAGTTTTTCCTCTCTACTGTCGCTACAAGCATGGTTAGTGTGAGGGATTGCTGAAGAGTCAATTATTCCTTAGATAGAAAACTTTGAATCAATCTGACTGGATGATCTGGTGAACAGGAAAGTGCCTTGAGATGACTTGTTGTGAATTGGTGCTATAGAAATAAACTGAATTGAGCTTATTTGATATATTACAACACAATGTACATAATGCAGTTTTACAGTGTATTACTGTAATATTAAATCATAGGATGCAAGTTCATGATGGTGATTATATCATGGAGCACCACTGAAGTTAAAGGATATTCATAAATTATTCATAAATTGTGGAAATAAATCTTAAACGAACATAGCATTCCAGAATTTGGCAAATGTTTGCCACCTCTGGCGACAGGTTAAGGTTCTGCACATGCATAGAAGAAGAGAAAAGCAACATATTCTGCCGCTGTAACTACACAGGTGTTTTGTTTAGAGGTGTAATGTTATCTGAGGTAAGACAGTTTTAGATGGAAGTTATTTTGAATGGAGCATCGTACCTTTGTAGCAAAAATAGGGTATCCTGGGGCAGGTCTGAGTAGCCTCCTTGTTTAAATCTTTCTCATTATATTCACTCATCCTATTCTGTTGTCACTCAGACTGGTTCGGCCCCTTTAGCACTCTAAAGTTTTATTTTCCTCACTCCTGTGTGAAGTCTGTGATATGGTTCACAAAGCTTCGCCACTGTTCTCTCGCTGCAGAGGAGAATCAGCTAACCAAGTAGCCAGGTGAATAAGAGCATGCAGTGCACCATGTGCGCTAGAGGTGTGGGAAAAAATCATTTTAGCAATATATATTGTGATTTTTGGCTGCCTGATATAATATCGATCTTTTACTTTCAAGAATAAATTTTTTAAGAAACAAAAGATTGTCAACTAAAACTATGAGGGAAAATGGGCTACCTCTGCACCACCACTCTTGCAGTTAGCGCTGTGGAGCCCTTTTTCTGTGCGGTGCAGAGCACCAAATTCAATTGAATTCAATTCAGTTTATTTTTATAGCGCCAATTCATAACTCAGGTCTTCTCAAGGCACTTTCCAGTTCACCAGATCATCCATTCAAATTGCTTCAAAGTTTTCTATCTAAGGAAAACCAGCTGATTGCATTGACTTGAAGGCGATGAATAGAGCACATCCAGCCAGTCACAGTCAGAGAAACAGGACTACACTGAAAAACAGGCCGATCTCCAACATCTACAAATAAAGCAGCGCAGCTGATATTTCTCTTCAGGATGGAGTCACAGCTAAACAATCTTAATTGTTATTTTCAATAGAATAAATTTTGGAGGCTAACAAAATAAACTGCCTAATTAGTCCACTTAGTGTTACTTAGCATAATCTGTATTAGGCTGGTTCTTGTTAAAAAAAAAAAGTTAGAGGAAAACTTCTGAGAATAGATAAAAAAAAAAAAAAAAAAAAAGAGTTTTTAGCTTTAAAATAAGCTCAGGTCAAAGGGTATTACTTTTTAATGTTGTTTTTTAACTGTAGCGTGTAATAAACCATCAGTTTTTATGGAAAAAGCCCAGCTAGTACCTGCTACAGTGACACTGTGACTTCATATCCATGTTTCTACTCCTCCACGTTCTTGGGAACCAGTCAGAGTCTATCTTTGTTTTTTGGCTTCTTAAACTCGACCCTCATTTCCTTTTGCCATTCAGGCTATTTATTTTTACTCAAACTCATTTAGTTAAGTCTGCAGCTCAGAGTTTCCATATGGGATCGTTCTAAAGATCATTCTACGCTCTATTAACCCACAAATACTTTAAATGGAGACATATTATCTGCCCACCTCCATGCAGCTCAAGGCCGTACATGTAGATATGTTGCTTTGTCTGCGATACACTCAAGGAATGCAAGGTATTCCCTCAGTTTATTTTAAACAGAAATCATTTGTCAACTAACCATTCCGACTCCAATATTGGTTGATGAATATTTGCAGTCATGTTACAGAATATAAGTTAAGTAACTAATGCACAACTGTACTATAAAGGTCATTAGAGCTCAGACTGCACTCATTTTGTCTTATTTTATATTTCCGATCCAAATTTTGCCTCATATCAACCTGCTTTCCCTTATCAGAAAGATACTGATCTGTTAAAAAATTACTAACATCAAAGTAGTTTTAATGTCAATATATTGCTTAATCAACATTAATGTAAACTTTTCCATTTAAATGACAGCCATAAGTGATTTTTCATTTTGGTCTACGAGGAAAAGTTGCTCCAGGTGATATTGTCTGAAAAAAACAAACAAAGGGGGGTTACTGGTAACACTGTTCATCCACACAGGGGGGGATTTACCATTAGGCAATACTAGGCAGTTTCCTAGGGCCCCAAGTTCCTGGGGGCCCCATAAAACTCTTTCTACATGTATAGGTAATACAACTATTCCTTATTTGTGCACATTAATTATGTTTTTGATAAAAATCCTTTTGCTAAAATGCCATCAGAACGCTAATAATATTAAGTGTGTCTCAGCCCCCTCCTTCAGTGTCCACCATATTGGATCAGTCCATTTGCTGCACATGTTCAGAAAGGTCCAAACAGACAGCAGCAAACCATTTGAAAACAAACCATGCGAAGAGCAGTGTTGCCAACTTAGCGCTTTAGTCGCTATATTTAGCCACTTTTCAGACCCCTCTAGCACTTGGATTAAAAAAAAAAGCGCCTAGAGCAAAATCTAAAGACTTTTTTCTGCTACCGAAGACTTTGGAGACAACATCTAAAAGCAGCGAACTCTGCTCTCCAGAGCAAGTAGATTGGTAACCCCGCCTCCTGCTCTCCTCTATCTTGTCTGCTGTCATGATTCATGCAGCTATTATTTCATCCAAATGAAAAATGGAGAACA